GATACTTACGTGAAAGTACGTGGTGAGAACGAGGAGTGTTGATGTCTGCAAACGCTTACGTATTTAGCGGACCCGAGAATCAAGCAGGTCATGCAGCCGTTCTACTGCCCCCTGGACGATGGAAAAGCAATGTGTATCCGACCGGATATAATGGAGACGGATGAGATATTGGAATTCCCGGAATATTCAAAGTATGTTGAACGTTTCTCGCTTGAACAGGTTCACCAGAGAATTTTATTTTTAGCATATGCAGTTGACATTGAACCACGAATTTGATGACAGTAGCATTAAAATACACGGAATCATATGCAACAGAATCGTAGCCTGTATAATATTCGAAGCTTTACTGAGTTCCCCAGTGAACAAAATCGCAATGAGAAAATTGTTTTTACGTACATCAATGTTTTATCCATATTATAGTCCAATCTTCGAATCGTTTTTGTTTGTCGTCCAAAAATGTTCTCTCTCGTTCATTTTCTGGCCGTCCTTCGAGGGTAAATTGGAGCGATGCGCCCCCTGAGCTGCTTTGACTGGGATGCACGTTTCGATCAAGATAACAATCTCCAGCTGAATGGGACTTTTCTGCGCTGCTTTTTTTGCGCACGCTGACTGGGCGCAGGCAGGTGGTTCGTGTCATCGCTTGATGCTGCGGTCATTGTTTTGAATCTGTATAGCTCAACGGTGATCATCTGCATCAGCTGTTTTATTTAACCCATCGTGCTGTGTCAATGGAAATCTTTTTGTGAATGAACTATTCACGCCTGAATTTTTGATTATTGTTCCACTGTAATGATTGTGCGAGGTCATCAATTCAACGCATAGTTCTGCGATGGCGGGTTTGAATCTCTATCATTCGCAAATGATCATCTGTATCAGTTACTTGACTTCGCCCTTTATATTGCCTGTTAATGGAAAGCTTTCTGCGAGTACTGTGCGATGCCTTTTTCAAACTTGTGAACTCCAGAGAATTCCATGTTATTGTATAACTTCATAATAATGGCTGCAAATAGTCATTAAGTCGGTTTGGTAGAATACAGTAAGCAAATTTGGCGAATTGTCGGCTTCATATAAAAATTTACTATCGTGAGAGAATTTACGTATTAAGCCCAAAGATTGCGTTTCATTCATAGGTAATTTAATAAAATTATTGCAAATGAGATAGATTAAAAACATATTCCCGCTGTTCTGCGACATACTCCAAGAGCGAGTTTAGTTTTCGATACCGCCGTCAATACATAATATTTAAAATATATTGATACCAAAAATGCATTTCTTAATTTACACCTATACTGCGGTGGTGTAAGACAGATGAAAACCTTCCACTGGGTAGTACTGCAATATTGCACGGCTCCATAGCATTTAAGCGCCTGCAGTGCGTGGGACGCGAGACTGCGTC